GGAGGAGAGGAGAGGAGAGGAGACAGGAGGAGAGGAGAAGAGGAGAGGAGAGGAGAGGAGAGAAAAGGAGACAGGAGGAGAGGAGAGGAGAGGAGAGGAGAGGAGAGGAGAAGAGGAGCCGATCGCTCACTTTGTTTATTGCCATCCAAACTTGGCTCCACCAGCCGGCCCTGTAGCTCGTACAATTGTTTGAGTTGAGCTGGCAGCCTGCCAGACCTGCATGGAGTAAATCAGCACTGTCAGTCAGCAACAACAGCCAGCAAGAGAGGGACGGGGGGAGGAGAGCATGTACATAAGGATGGGGGGAGGGTGTGGGGCTGAAAAAGTTTGGTGTGTGTGTGTGTGTGTGTGTGTGTGAGATAGACATACAGATAGTGAGGGAGTGCAGAAGAACAGGGCCAGCGAGCAAGAGAAAAGGAGGGAAAGAGCTCTAGCAGGGAAGTGTGTGTGTGGGGGGGATGGGAGGCAGGAGAAAAAAGTAAAGAGAGAAAAGAAACGGAGAAAGAGAAGGAGGGAGGACCTGGTGCTCTGTTGTGAAACATGAGCTCGGAAAAACTGCTCCGAGTTTAACACTCGACCCAATGTTTTTGCAGTTGTTACTGTTTGGAGGAGGTCCATTGCGTGAGCCGACGCACGCACTGAAACCTACAAACACACACACACAATTGTCCCAGAGCCCCACCCCTGGTGCGCTGGTTGTTTTTCTTCCTCGGCCTCATCCTTCTCTCCACACTCCTGTTATCAAGGTGAGGTGTGCTAACAAGACAGGCTGCCTGCCTGACGTCTCTGGCGTCCTGCCAACCTGCAAGGTATAAAAAAAAAACAAAAAAAAACGCACCCACTGAACTGGCCCGGTTCTGTAGCTCGGAGGCTTAATCCAACCCTTTATGCATGCTGCCTTCTTGTGAAGAAGCTGCGTGTGGAAACTGGGCTCGAGGCGAGCTCTTCTCTCATTACTGCACACCTTCGGCCTTGCCAGCGCAGACGGCTCCTCTTGTGCGTCCTCAGGAAACCACAGTGACTACTTATTTTTATCTTGCTACAGGAATCTTTTTTTTCCTGCCAATTAGTTCCCAACAATGACCCTGCTTGTTTATGTACTGTCTATTGAGTGACATCCCCCATCATAATTAGGCCGGGCTTGTGTCTTTCAAAAGCTACATACCAAGTGCATGGATTTTCACACGTGGGGAGAGACAGCTGCCTGCTGCGTGCAGGCTTATGGGGTGTATCTTTTAATTGGGTCCAAATGGTGGTGGATAAGTATGAAGATTTCGAAAAAGTGATAAAGTTGGAAAAAAAGTAGAGAACAATAGCCAGCAGGAGACGGAGAAGACAAGTTCAGCAGGTTCATGAGCTGTGCTCCGAGGATTTAAATCCCTCCCCTTGACCACAGGATACTGCTAGTGTTTGTGAGTCAGAGATTTCTGTTCTGTGTGTGTGTGTGTGTGTGTGTGTGTGTGTGTGTGTCACAGCTGTGAGGCCGGGAGTGACTGCAGCTCAACAAAGCACTGCGCTCTGCTGGGTTGCTCTTGGTAAACAAAGGGAACTCACAGTCTTGTATAGCGATTGCCCAACCTTCTCCTTCAGCAGAGAAAGTAAAGAAAAGAGCCAGTCGAGCGCAGCAGATTAAAGGAGAAGTTGGAAACAGACGTAGAAGCGAGGAGTTTTAAAAAACATAAGAAAATGACTCGAATGCAACGCGGCAAAAAAAAAACAAAAAAACACGGTACTGTTTATTTGATAATCAGCTACTAAGGGTTAAGAGATCGACTCTCTTGTCGTAGGGCGGCCGAGCAGAGCGGAGCGGGCTGTGGAGGGGGTGGTGGTGGTGGTGGTGGTTAGAGGTTGGGGGGTTTTTGCCAGAGGAGGTCAGCTGTGTTCAGTCACAGCTGAGAGAGAGGGTGGGGGGAGAGTCGGGGTTGGTCGGGGTTGGTTGCTGAGTTGCTGCACCCACAGCATGCCCAGCTGAACCCTGATCAGCCCCCCAACCTCCGCCCCTCCTGCACAGCGACATGCAACACTGTTGGCTTAGCTACTTATTCCCATGACAACTGCCTGCCTGAGCACCAGATGTGTGCAAAGCGGGGGGAAAAGAAGAATGGAAAGTGTTCAAATAAGACCGAGACAGTGGCGTTCCTCTGCCTTAACTAACAGCAGTTTTATAATCTTTTCAAATGTTCTCCACTTTACAGATTCGTAGCATTTCCTAGCAGTCGGAAACGCTTTTTCATTTCAACTGAGGAACTTTTAACAAAGCAAAAGCACAACTACTTATTCCCATTTCATTTCATTCAAAGAGGAGTTGTGCGCCTGCCGTGCTTTGCTGCTGTCAGCGCTGACAGAGGAGGTGTGTGTTGGGAAAGGTGGCGGGAGTGGTTTTAGGTTTTGCTGGCGGCTCGGAGCCCACAGATACCATCTTTATAGTCCTTACGATAGTGATAGACCTTTCAGCTCAAACATGTGTTTTGCTGCAGAGAACACAACCATCATCAACAAGATTTAAGTGTTTACAGCCCTGCTAGCAGCTCCGTGAGGCTGCGCTCAGGAACAGTTCATCCTGACGGGGACACGGTGAAGCTAGACTGGAGATATTAGTGGAGGTATTTCAGTAAAAAAAGACCTAAAATGTCAGCCTGTTTGCAGCAGTAGAGACTGAAGTAGGTTAAAAATTTCACAATAATCCAGGATTGTTTGTAGACTAACAGCTGATACGTGATGTTTAAAGCCCATTACTTCCAGTCGGAGACATAAAGCAGCCTGTGACTCATAACCGAGCTTCCTCCCTAATGACAGAAGATGCAAAGATGAAAAAAACTATTCATTCGGTTGTAACTCTTTCTCTGTACAAGCCTTTCTATTTCTCTGCGAGCAAATTATAAGTCACAGGCTCATTAATGTAATTTAAAACTCGTGAACTCTTTTCCTCGAATCATACCTACATTCAATTATAGCTCAATGAAAAGGGTGAGCGCACACATGATCATTTGGTAATTGCCTCTGTGTGTGTGTGTGTGTGTGTGTGTGTGTGTGTGCCGGAGGGAGGAACTGAAGCGGCGTCGAGGCCAGAAATCGGGGGGGGCGAGTGAAGATTGTGGCTCGTGGAGCGGAGCAGGTGCTGTCAGAACCTATTTGCTGTCGTTCCCTCTCATGCACCTACTTTATTCACTTAGTGACACATGACTTTTGCTTAGTTTAACAGAGACACAGTGACGCTGAATCGGATTCACTGCGCGCTGCGGCTTCTGCTCAAACAGAAACCGCTCTTTAGTCGGCTGAACTACACAGCCAGGCAAGCAGGAGTTAACAACGTAGGCTGCAGTGTTTTGATTGGCTTTGCAGACATAAACAAGAGCCGTACTTGTGCGTGACCCCTGGGCCTGACCCCAGAGATAGACGCTTCTCTAATGGGTGTCTCTTTCAGCAGGCGGCCGGGCCGGGGGAACAGAGGAGCCATTGTTTGAGCCAGGGAAAGCCAATGCTCTCCCCATTTAAGTGCTGATCCTAGAGGAGAGGACCATAGGAGCCATGAAGCCGAGGTAAACAGCCAGTGAGACGGGGGGACATATTGGACACAATGCTGCCTTTAGGTTCAAATTCGGTATATTATCTTCCAAAAAAAAAAAAAAAAAGCAAGCAAACCCCTCTGCAAAAATTAAACCGAGGCCTACAGTCATATGATGGTTATATGTTTTGACAGTTGTAAAAACAGCACTGTTAATTAGCTGCTATTTAGGCTTGAAGTTCCTGCACTTAAAACACCAGTGACACAGGATTAGGAGAGGGACAGCTGAACAGTTGTGCACACTAAACCAAGCATGACTGGCTGAGGTGCTGTTGTTCAGTTTCAACCACATCCTCTGACACACTCATTGTGTGCATGTGTTTGTGTCGGGGGGCCGCAGACAAGGGAGCTCTTTCGCTGCAAGCGGCCAAACAGGTGAGTCAGGTGTCGGCGGAGTGTGAAACTGTACCTGGCATGTACGACAATAGGAGCGCCACGCGTCAGCCCCGAGGGAGGAGGCTGTACGTGGTCTGCTCTGTTACAAGAAAGAGCAACGAAATCTTGGGCGTGATTTGCTTCGCGAGTGGATAAACTTTCATCTCGGGCTGATATCAAAATATACTTTTCGTATAAATGGATACGGCAAACAGTGTGCAACAACTGCATTTTTGCACTGAGCACAAAGCAGTTACACACACTGGGCTGCAATGTTTACATGTGTCAGGACTAATCCATCACTCACATGTCTTCGGGGCATCCATGCTGCAGTGTAACTAATCTGCGGGCTCAGCAAGATTGGCCTTAACCTTTTAGGATGTGACAGTAACTCTTCTCATTTGCTGTACACATAGGCTCATTCAGTTGTCATGCAACACTTGCTTGTGTGTGTGTGTGTGTGTGTACATGGAGTTCAGGCAGCAGTTATTAGAGTGTTTTGGAAGCCCCACTGCTCCCACCAAATTAATGACCTAACAGCAGGAGGGATATGATGGGCACAGTCCCTGCCAGAACGCCTGGCTGGCTTCAAATGCCTGGCTAGCTTCAGACACTTGGCTAATCCATCATGGCTTCTTTCACAATACAGAACTCCTTAAAATAAAAGCTCGGGCTCTAACGAGTGGGAGCAGCGCAAAGGAGGGAATTAGTTCTTCTTCTGTAGATTTTCTGACCGAGGGGAGGAGCATTGAATTCTAGATGAAGCAAAAAGAAAAACAGCAACGACAGATTGTATAAAGCGATGTATGTGTATTCTGTGAGAATTTTACTTTTGTAACTCCATGACCTAATACTTATTTAGCACCTTCAGCCACAAGCAGAGGTGTGATGTCTCAAAAGGCTCCCCTGCTCTCTCACACAGTTCCTGTAGATGAAGAACAAGTGTGATGCTGCGTGTGGCATCGATCGTCCAAACACAAACTCGACTCGACACCTTCAATAAAATTTTATTGAAAAAAAGTACCAATAAACAACAAGAAATCCAGAAAAAAAAAGATTTGTAGAGCAAAGCTCCATATGTACAGCATATTGCACTACATAACAAATTGTCTTTACTTCCATATTATATCAAGAACCAAAAAAATATATATAAACACAAAAAAAATAAAAATGAGTGCACAGTAGAGTCTCGAAAACACACAGTCAATGTTTACAAAAATGCTACATTTTCGCTGGGTCTCATTTCTTGGTATACAGAGAGTGTGTGATAATCAAGACTTCGTTGAAACTGAGCAGTTAAAGGCATATTCCAGGGTTTTTTAGAAATACATGTACACTGTATCTGTCCTGTAAAGAAGGGTAAATATTTCATAGCTACAAGCTCGTGAGCCAAATTAACCACAACCATGAACTATTTTGGTTTGCTTGATTTTCGTGTATATATCATGGTGAGATGTGCAAGGAATGTTGCAAGTTCATTTTCGTCAACAAAAAAAAAATGTTCTTGATCTCATGGACTTCAAAAAGGATCCTACTGGTATTAAAAATTATTTTACAAGCATGAACTGTTCTTATAAAAGCAGACCCCCTTTTTTTTTTCTTAAGAAAATACAATTTAAAAAGTTAAGAAAGACCATGAAGAAGAAATGTTATCGTTTAAAAAAAAAAAATCTAAATCAAAACCTTCCTCAAAAAAAACAAAAAACTTCAAATTTATATAAAGTGGACTACAAAATTCAAGACACTGACGGTTTCCATAAAATACATGTCCCACTCTTGGGATATCTCTGCGCTCACATGTAATGTGATGAGCACAGTTTGGGAACCTCATTCTAACAAAATTATACAGGGCACCATGGTGGCTTGTTTCCCTTTCCAATAAATCAAACAGGCCAACATACCTGAGCCTACTTGGTCAATGCACAGATATACGGCTGACACATGGCAAGATTAGCCCAAGAGAACAATCCAGAGTATATACTATACATTAACACACAACAGATAGGAGACCTATGGGATTTACAGAAACAAAGTACTTTCCAGTGCATATTGATTACAACACAATGATTAAGATTAAAGAACACAAAAACTAACGCCCTGTGACTTGAGAGGAATATGAAGGCAACCTTCCTTCTGTCTGTTTGAGTCTTTTCCAATGTCATGTGTATCATTAGTGAAGGATGGGATGGGTGATGACTCATTAATTATAAGGGATGGGGAAAACTCCCGTTGAAAGGTTTAACTACGTCGAGGCTGCTGCTTTTCTAAACCGCATATTGTAAAACTACTCATGATGACTGGTGAATTGGGTGGGGGAAGTTAATGATAAAGGTTACCGGTTTCGGCCCATTCCTGGCAAATCACAACCTTTTAGGGGGAAACGCCCCACCCAGAATCTATTTTTTGAGTATCAAACACCCGTGTAGTCGGCTTGTGCTTTTCTTCTCTACGAAGAATAGCAGCTGTGGTCATGAATTCATGTTGTGGCAATACAGTCCAATAGTCAACAAGAAACTGCAGCTATTGGTCACTGAAATAAACTCCCCCCACATAAATTTAAACTGTTGTTCTTTTAAAACCTACAAAAGGTGATTAAAGAATTTGGGTTGAGTATCACAAGAAGAAATGTCAGGGTCAATGAGGGCCAACCTGCTCTGCACAGAATCAAACAAACGGAAGCATATACAAGTCCAAGAGCAAAAAAAACAAAAAAAAAAAAAAAGAGGAAATTAAGAAGTAATTGCACACACAGGTGTATACAGTAGAAATGGGCAAATATACCAAAAATAAATAAAGAAAAAAAAAAAAGGAAAAAATAAATTACAAAGAAAATGAACCGATGAACAATAACCATGTAAATGAAGGAGCAGCACAAAGAGGGAGTCAAGAGCCAATGGTGAGACGGGGTGCTACACGGACTGGCTCAGCGTTCAGGATCCGCAGGAAACTATGACCACAACCACATTCAGTGCACCTCATACGCCTATCACTACATACTCAGTAGTTCCCGTCACCACCACAGCCAGCAAGTCAGCCTCAGACTCCTCGGTCAAACTGTACCTTTAATGTGTGTGTGCTGAGAAATTGGCCCGAGAGGAATTTCCAAGTGAAACGAAAATAGGAGACGCTGACAAGACCTCAGGAGGTCTCGTCATAAATAAATGGGTGACAACACTGCTCTTCTTCTAACCATGTAACAGATTCTCAAGGTTACCAGTAGCCCACAAAGTCCGTCCCTGAGACATCTTGAGAGATAATGAGAGAAAACCCTAATTATGCAGTGATAAACTTGACACATTGTAAGGAGCAAGTAATTACAGACCCCTGATATGTACTGCTCCTTGGGTCCAAAAGTTGGCCTGGGTTCAGCAATCAGAAAAGACATAACAAACAGCATCTTCAACAGTGTCTTTAAACATATTCATATTTCAACAATAATTACAGTCTTTTTCACTAATGTTTCATTTCAGAGACTGTCTGTCTGCTGAGTCAGTGGTGGTTATACGTGCTCAAAGGTCCCAAATCTCTGTCTGTGCACCAAAGACAATATAAGATCACCCAACAGAATATCAAATGATGTAAAACCCCATAAAGGTGGCCTGAGAGCAGGAGATTCTGTTTCACAGATTGGTTACGCCATATTGTTTGGTGTTCAGAACACGCGGGGGCTGTGAAAAGCAAACCGGGAAACCTTTCAGTCGAGGCACAGGACAATAACGCTGACTCCATAACTCCATAACCGTAGACTGAAACACTGGCGAGTGAAATTTTTAAGAACCGACATCCAATCCAGATTCCAGACTGTGTTCAGTCAGGTGTCAACACTGATTATTTGTCTTGGACATGTGAATGAATACATCTGAAATGTGGTGGCAAAGAAAACCAGATACAACTGAAAAACCTTCATACAAGACAGAGGTTAGCGCGGTAACAATCTGAACTCTTGAAGGGTGTAAGTCTAGTGCAAAAACAGTGGATCCACAGCTCCACTTCAAGGGCATGGAGGTCTGAAAACAATCACATGAAAAGAACACACCAAAAACAAAGGGAAGTCGTGTATTAGAGGATGAAATTGGGAACAAGACCGAAGTAAAAACTGAACATCTGCTGAAATTAAAATCGAAATAAGAATGTTAGCCTAAGCTAAGTTTTATCCTTTTTTTGACAGTCGGGCAGGTGCCTTACTTTGCTCAGTACATCAATGTGATTTACTCTTGTGTTCTAAAATAGTGCATGGTGCTAGACCTTCAATAGTTTTCTATATGCATGCAAAAGTCAGCACCCTGTGATATTATTATAAACATCTACTCAGTGTGCTACATCTCAGACATCATCTGCCACCCACATGGTTACCAGATGACCACTGCGCTGCACAATAACAAACACCCCTGAATAATTAGAACAGCAATCACACAAATGAATGACTGCTGTTACTAAAAGAACAAAATGGCCAAAACAGAATTAGAAATGAAGAGTTCAAACTGGTTCACGGCAAACAAACCTTCTAAAATCAGGTTCGCTGAAGTGATTTGTTCAAATAAATGAGTGACACTAAAACTTTTGTGTCGATTTTGCAATATTGACTCATGTCAGCATGTCAATAGAGTCATGAGTCGACTGTTAATTATCTGGATTGTTTGTTACAGCTTCATAGTCTTATTAGTTCATGCAGCCAAATGCACATGGCTTGATTTATTTTATTTGTTTAAACTTCCTTTTGGATGTTTGGCAGGTTTACCGGCAGTCATCAAACTTGTTTGACCAGACAGCAATGTTCAGCGCTGGAAACTTCATCCTGATACTTCTTCAGTCATCAAAGAGTCTCAAATGTTTGACATGTAGCACAAGACTAAAGACAAGTTTACCTCAAACTCTCCACTCTGTGCATATTTCAAAGATATTTAGATAATATCTCACAGTGTGCCAACTTCTTCATGCGCAGATACTTTGTTCCCAATATTTTCAACGATACTGAGGGATCATAATCAAACTTAATACCATACCAAAGAAAATGGGGGGCTGAGGAAACAAAACATAAGAAGTAAAATAAAAGAAAACAAGAAAAGATAAATGTTCCATTAAGGTGAGGTGCAAAATGCTTTGTTCTGAGAAGTTGCCTCTTTGGAAGTTAGTAAATCAACTTGACTGGTCGCCAGGGAAACTTCAGAAAAGAAAACGTCACACCACATTTCCTTTCACTTCCTAACCGTCTCATCTAAGCCTGTCAAAATTGCTCAATACTCATTCTGGCAGAAGACACTGAATAAGGCAGGACTCACACATACACACTGCATCGACGCTTCAAGGGGGGCGTGCCTGATGTCTTTGCTGGTGCGATCGTCATAAGATGAACATGATTTGATTGAACAACAACGGACCCACGAGTGAGTTTGGCAACGCATGACGCCGCCACATTCAAAGTGAATGAGAAGCAAGATCATTGATGCCTAAACGCACACATGTGAGTCCTGCCTAAGGCATTCCCAGGGTCTGTGGAGGTCATTAAAGATGGGATACATGTTGAAGTGCAAAAACTTTACCAAGAACAATGTACTGTACAAAACTACTACACCACATGTATGCCAAAATATGAACATTGTCCTTTAGAGGAATCTCGGCGCATCATGGCATCTTCTTGGAAAGAAAAAACACACGACCTTGTATAAAAGTTGGTTGTCTCCGTCCCGCGGTGACCTTTGTGTCTCCTTTCTTTTCTCCCCCAAACAGACCCGTGTTAGATTTGACAGTGCCATTAGGAGTCCAGTTCCTTACAGAGATGAAGAAAAAGGGACGCAATGGGGGAGATCCCCCTCACCTCCGTCCTGCACCACCTCCTCCAGCAATGAACCCCCTGTCAAACAGAAGGCTGAGTAGGGCTGCGGCCAGGCGCCACCACAGCGGCCCCTGGTTCCTTTGGTTTCGATGATACTGAAACAACAAATAAAGACCAAACAGTTAGCGAGCTACACAGAAACCAAAAATACAGCGGTAAAAATAGTCAGAAGTTTTGGTTTTCACTGTGAAGTTTAGCTGATGTTGGCTGTGATGTACGCTGATTGACAGCGAGCACAGTGGAAAGGGTCAACTGAGAAGAGGATAAGACAGAACCAGACACCGGAACGACGCTGATATTTTCACAACAGTCTGCTCCTGTCCCCAACAATACTTATTAGCGAAGGCCTCCCTTTGTGTGCGGGATCCCGGGCTTCCCAACAGACATTCCGAGCCCATAAACACATTCATCATATGGTCACACTTTTTCTAATCTTTCTGGCAAAGACCAGCGGCTCAGGAGGAGACTCTCTCAGGTTTGCGAGCCAATTGGATTGTGTGCGATTAGAGGGATAATGCTATCTCTGCCATTGAGAAGCTGAGATAAGATAATTGCACCAAATGGGATTAGGGAGCTCTTGATGAGAGGCAGGGAGTCTCTGGAAAACACGTATCTGCATGAGAGAGGTACAGTACGACGCAACAGCTCATCTGCTGACGAAAGCCAGACTTCACTACGCCTGATAGTGCTGCGGATCCATTCAGACCGTAAGGGTTTGTAAGCTGAAGACTAAAACTAGAGAGACCTGAGATTACTTTTCCACAACAATGCATGAGAGTGCGCTGCTGCCTTCTCTTAACAACAATGTGCTATTGTTTACAAAAGCCAAAATATCTAAAGGCAGAGATTAGATATGCCATATTTACATGACTTAACATGGTGTCCAAACCTTGACCTAGTTAAAACCAAGAACTGCCACTGTGATAAGCCTCTGGGTTTCTATACTCTTATCAATTTGTGGTGAACATTGCAGGGTGTTGCATAAGCTTTGCCAGGTTCCAACCAGTATCTTGCTCAAAAGAGAAAAAAAAATAGAGGTAAAAAAATGATGGCAAAGACTCCTGGGAAGTTCTGCGCTGTATGGCATATCTAAATCTTGCCTGGGGATATTTTGATAAGGATATAATAACAGCATAATGTCTGCTTCACAATAAACACAGGCAATATTTATATGCAGCACAGCGTGGATGAGCTCACCGCGATACATCTACGCTGCAGTGTTGGCAAACAGCGAGGCTCGACTTGGTAAACACTGCCATGCCTGGAGTCTTTTCAATTTAAAACTAAATAATATGAGACTACAGTCAGCTACAAGTGTGCGATCAAAGAGGATGGAGGCAAAAATGACTGCACATGTGCAATTATAAGCGTACTGTATATCAATATGTGTAATATTTAATGGCGCCTAGAGTTTCAACATTAGATAGTAAAAGCTGCAGGAGTGAAATGAGTCAACTGAGAGATTTATCGCGCTACAAAGTTTGTGCGATTACTACGGGCTACATGAGAAGCAATTAATGTTTACTGCCAGAAACAGAATGTTCCACTGGCCTTTTGCTCTTCACACTGACACACACACACAGAGCAAGGGTGACAAAGGGAGGTGTGCACAGGCCTGTCACAACTTAGTCATGAGTCACGCCACCAACTGTCGAAATGAAACTCGGGCTCTAAATTTAGCTTGCGATAAAGCGGCAGAGTCTACCCAGATTCTCTGTGTCGTCACTCTGACACAAGCTTGATGCGCTTTATCGGCGTCCCATGCAGGCTGTCTGTCAAAGCAGCTGCTCAGAAGCTCTGCCTTATCGCTTGAGCAAACAGGCCGGCCTCCATAACAAGAAACTCTGGATTAGTCACACCAGCCAGCGACGGGACAAGGGCAAAGGGAAAAATACAAACAACTAGCAGTTTTATTAGAACTGCACAAACTGACATCGCCATCAGCAAAACTCATCACAGGACAATAAATGAAAAGTAAATATCATTTGTTTTTTTTTTTTACTTCCAGCGCAACTCCACTCCTCCCCCCCTTTACAAGTGCTGAAAGGAGAGAGTGCTGTGCCCTCACTGGAACAGTAGAGAGATAAAGCCACAAACACTGCGTGCATGCAAACGCACACTCTCAGCTACACACACACACACATAGAGACACACACACACACACACACACAGGAGATATTCAACCCTGCTTTCAACACCTCCTATCGAAAGCACCAGGAGTCGTCTCTCTTAAAAAAACATGGGGATGAAACCTAACTCTGCTCCTTGCCCTGTGCAGGCTGGAGCAGTCTTCCTGCCATTGTGACTGTCATTATTGCTGTGTCTCAAATGGCGGGCCGGCTAATGTCAGCCATCCTCTGGGGACCTCAGAGTCCCCTCGAGCCCTCTCTGACTGAGGAGCAATTTATCTGTCAGCAGCCACCAGCACTCCTTCGCTACCTAATCCCTCTTTTTGCCGGGGGCCATGGGCTCCCATGGAGAACACTCGCAGCCACATTGCTCCAAAAGCTATCAAGGTGATGGCAGTTGAAGGCACTTGATTTGCTCAGGGACAAGTGTCTGCACTGCTAATAAATTGCAGAATGACAGGAGCAACAGGTACGAGAGGTGACAAACAGTAACACTATTATCGAGTGAGAGTTTTTGCACTGACTGTCAGACCGTGTGATAGCGAGAAGTGAGAGACAGCAGAAAAGCAGAAAAACAAGTATGGGTGTATTCATGCATAAGCATGTACGCACGCACGCACAATACAATGAATTGCACAACCGGAGCCAGAAATAGCAATTACAGAGGCTGCAGTGGAATCACGCATCCAAAACCGCACATCAGTGTTTGAGTTGTAAAAACATCCCTCTGTAACAGTCAGCCACACAGAGCCGCAACACACAGACACACACACAAATAGTGGCAGAGTTGTAGTTATGCTCCACTTGAACAACAAGTGTCAACAGTAGTCCTACTTGTCTCTTTGCAAGCGAGAATTACAAGCTGGCTGACTCGCCGTAACACAGGCAAAAATCTTGTTATCAGAATATCACAAAACGTATGTGTTCAGGATGTGACTTCACAGGGACGATTTCACTCTTGACTGTCCTGTCTGCTGTTTACTCAAGCAGCAAAAGGGAGCAAAAGCCACTTCCTCATCCCCTGACCCAGGCCTGCCTCCGTTGTGCGTCAGTAGATCCCGGCCGCACAGACACACACACACACACACACATCACAGCAACCCTCCTGTCTGACCGTCTGGTTGTCTGTGTGTCTGCTAGTGTCACAATACATGAGTCATGCTGTGCTGCAGGGGTATAAATAACATCTGCTTGATAAGTGCATGAGAAAATCAGAAACTGTCTCGCACTTCAGAGTATGAAGTTTAAAAATATATATATTACATGAAGAGCAGGGAGGGTCCTTTTTCACCAAAGGGGAGGTTTTAAGACAACTAAAGATGGTGGTTACTTGATCATTTGAGGTTCAATTTCCAAAACCTCCATCTCCCCCCCATATACATGATTATACCATCATTATGGATCTCGCCCCCCATTCTGCCTATGGCTGAGCAAGACCTCTTATTTGGGTGTCTCCTGTGGCCGCTCCTTGCCGAGGGAAGGGGCTGACTGGAGACTCCCTGGAACCACAGCTGTTCCCCTCTGGGCTCACGTGCTGAGCTTCGGGTTACAACATGTTTACCTACTCCCGCCACTTCTGCTTTTTCCTGGACGTATCACTATGAGTGGAGGAGTGTGTTTAAATGTGCATGTGCGAAAAAAAGAAAAAAAAAAGTGTGTTAGACTGTTAACCACCTGTGCAACTTGCACACTGCAGAATATATATTTTTTGAAAACAACAGTATGTCATGGTTTTTACAACGCAGCCACAAAGAAGCGGCACACCGACCGAGTGGACACTGTCCTCCTGACCACAGTGTGTAGTTTGAGGCCAGGCATCCTCTATGCCACTTGCCTCCAAAGCACACTGAGGAAACAGGAGAAAAGAGAGAGAGAAATAAACAGGAAGAGGAGGCAGGGGGGAGGGCCGGGGGTTGGTGAAGTGGGGGAAGGGCTGTCCTGGTTCTGCAATGTCTTTGGCTTGAGGGGAAAGAGTCGGGGGGGTGAGACGCTGGGCTGAAGTTCTGCATGTGCACAGCCTCTCCAAAACAAATACGGAGCAAACACAATAAAAGAGAGCAAACTTTTGACCCACGATTAATCTCTGTCAGATCAGGATGAGATCCAAATATTTATTTAAAAGTAGTTTGTAGATGGTGTTGCTAATGTGTGGAGTGCACTTTTTCCTACTTTATAAACGCCTTCCTAACCTGACACACATGAACAAGAGACACACAGTTACCTCTAGTTTGATGGCAGCAAACTTGTGCTTTATAGTGCCATGAGCTTGACATCATATAGTGAAGCCAGGGAGAATGCACAAAAAGGTGAGACTAATTAAACATAAAAACAGTGCAGAACTCATTCATTGTGACTTCTCCACTGTCACTATGCTATAGTAGTAAATGTGATTTGTAGAAGACTACCTCTCTTGCATTACGGCATTTTGTTTTGCTATCTCAGTTTCATCTACTGTCAGAGGAATCAGGTTGCCTTTAACACTTAATGTGGGGCACGACAGCGATATTTTGATCTGACAGCCCGAGCAATAACATAGCGTTATGGTGTCATCGGTCAGTTGACCTTGTTTACTGCCATCAGACTTCAAGGTGTCTGCCCTGAGTTTGCACAGCCGGCAGGATGCAGCTTTCCTCCTCACCAGTTGTAGGTGTTCCCGGTGAAACTGGTCTCCTATCAGCTGGAGTTTCTGTCCAATGCAAGCCTCCACGCTGCGCGCCACAGGTTGCTGCCGGGGCAGCTGCTCCATCCCGTTTTGCTCCATTTCACTTCCTTGTTGTTGCCTCGCTTGGTGATCCCCAATAAGCTCAAAGCGTGCTGGGAAGTGCAATCGAAAACCTGCGTTACCTGTTGAGTGTCAAGGCTGATACTTATTATTTTGGAAACAACACAAGTGTTCATTACAATAATCTGAATACAACAGTGACACTTGGCAGGATTTTCCTTACTACAGGTACAAAGATCAGCCAAGTAGCGTGCCTTGGCTCAAACCGCCATCTTCCCAGCTCTTTTATCACATTTAATCGTTTCATAAGTCACTCGTACACAACAAACTCACACGATCCATATTTTAAGTTCAGTCAGTTGTCATGGAGCGACTTTGGAATGATTACTCGTATATGGCGCCAGTGTCACTTTGCTGTCACTGATATCAGTTCTCTGAAGAGTTGTTGCACAGGTGAGCACTTCTATAACGTCCTTTCAGTCACAATGCCAGTCTGGCGCCTTTTGAATAGCAAAGCAGCTGCGTACACTGCACACAGACCATAAAAGCGAATGTGATGACGACTATCAGGCGCCAGGGGTGAGATCAGTGCAGCAACACTGTTACCCAGTTCTCACAGCAAGTATCACATCAGGCTTTTTGCGCTACAGTTTTATAACACTGGTTATCACGCACAAGGCAAGGTTCCTTTTTCTCTTTTGAAATACGGTATGTCGCCAGCCTCACCGTAGAAGAGTGGTCTGGGCTCCTCTGCGACTCCACAGGGCAGCATGCCGTTGTTTGGTTGCAGGGCAGGACCAGGAGTCTGTGTGCCCCGGTCTTCACACTTTATCTCCCTGAATGTTGTGCGCCAGCAGTGGGGGTCTGGCTCAAAAACATCATCCTCCTCATCGTCCATACGGGGGCACTAGAAGATGAGCAGCCTTAAAAGTGACACAGACAAAGAAAGATTACTGCTGCAGCTCAATATAGAATATTTATCTTGCAGGGAGTGATTAAATCATAGGCTTCCCAAAGTTTCCTACGCTAATGATGATAACCTTGGACAAAATCTACATTAGAGCTGATGAGATGATCTCAGACACATTCATTATTCCTTCATTCCTCCAGAGCACCCATTATCATTATAGACAACCTGTCTGGCCTATAATGAGTGCCCTCAAATCAATAAAACCACAGTGGATAAGTCTGAGAAGAAGAAATGAGCTAAAGGTCTGCCTTCATTTGTGGCAAAGGAGCTCAGTGCTTATTTAGACAAATGGCTCTGTTCAGCTCAGTGATGAAACCACACAATTCGCTGCGGTTAAGCGACTCAGTTGAGCCACAGTTACATAAAAGGGAGTTTGGCTGACTAGGTTAAATGAGAGGGAGATTCTCTCTTGTCTCTGCTAATCAGCCCTCTGGACAGCAGTTGGACCGGCCCGTGATTGCTAACTTCACTAACATCGGGTACTTTTACAGCGAGTATCAGTGCTCAGTGTGCATATCTGAAATGTATACAGATATTAAAAGGAAATTTAATGACAAGAACAATAAAAATGCCTCGTTATGTATTAAACCGATCTAACCGCAGCGTGGCAAGAATCTCGAGTGTCATCCATGCACTGGACTCAACCTTGAGTCATATAGTGGGTCAAAGAGTTATCAAAATATAGGTGAAATTCAAGTTGCCTCACTAGTGAAACCCCAAGTCACCACTGAGTTGTAATGCAGGGTTAGACTATTACCACACTTCCAAATTAGGGTCCACAGCAAAAGGGTAATGACAGTCTTTGAGGAAAATCCTAAGCCACTCTCCTTACCCTGGTCTGTCAGCCTGCCAGCTCCCCAAGAAGGAGTTTTCATTTCTTCACCCAACATAAGCAGATTGGACTGTCTCTAGCATGTCCTGACCTCACGATATACTGTGTGCGCTCACAATAAACCCTGTGTGTAAAACCACTTAATGCTTTGTTTTGACAAACACAGAGTAAGAACATGGGCTCAGAAGAGAGAGAGAGAGAGAGAGAGAGAAAAAAAATGGTTCAACTCTCAGATCTCAGTGCTGTGTTCTGCAGGGCTCTAGTGACCGGGCTGCTGTGTGTTTGTGTCAGACGGTGGCTCCCCCTGCTGCAGACACAAGAAACCCTAACAAAAGGAGAGGAGCCATGGATGGGGGGTGGAGGTGGTGGTGGTGCTCTGTTATTGACACAGTTTCTGCCCAACAGCATAAAGAGGCCGACAGCACACCAATTTCAACTTTATATAACATTAGAACACTGCAAATCCTGAAATGACAAAAAAAAATCTCGAAGCGGTTCCAGAGTCTCGCGACATTTTTTTTTGTTTGTAAACAAATATCAATAAGAGGAGCTCGTGCTGAACCTAAATTAATCAAGTTTAAAAAAAATAAGTTTAATTATGTACTGGCACAGATTTGGAAATAGCACACACGTAATTACACGAGCACACTTGCTAACTCTTTAAATTCTGCAGAGAAAACGACTGTCAGGCTTTTACATTTTTGAACCAAAGTACCGAAACATGAGTCGCTCGCCGCCCTGCAGCCTGGAGTCCATTCACCCACACGGAGCTCCGTAAACCGGGAAAGCCGGTATAATTCAAATCTGTGCTGTATGAATGACAAGCCGACTTGGACTTAAACGCCGTATTTAACCGGACCGCTTTGACGTTTGGCCTCAGCGAAGCACACAACATGTGTCGAAACAACATTTGTTGCGTCTGTTTCACACGTTGTTTGTTGCTTCTTCCAAAGGACGCGGATGTTACTTCTTCACGTTAAAGCTGTCGGAAAGTGTGGGGCAAAAATGGCTTTAAATAGTGTTTCTGGTGAGCTTACCACAAAGACTGGCTTCGTTGTAACGACTGTCTTGCACCCAGGAGAGAAGAAAAAAAATAAAAAATAAAAGAAAGTTCAATATCCTGCCAAGTCAAGCGAGTTTAGTCCTTTTCACCTCCACGGCTGCTTCCATTCTGGGAGGAAAACTGCTACAAGCCGATTTCATTTCGCCGACGTCAGCTCCAAACTGACTCCGCCACCGGGGCGTGGTGCGCAAAATTAGTAAATAAACCTGCCTTAAAGACGCAGCGCGTCTGAGGGCAGCGTGGAGCGCGCGCAGAGGAGGCACTGCGACGCGCTATAAGGCTCATTTGCCGCAGCCAATCAGCGGCTTTGTTTTTGTCCCGCCTTCTCAGTCGTGTATGCAGACACGTGGACGGGAAATTCCCCGGAGCACGAGACTGCTTTTACGCTACTACTGGTCATCTGGAGAGAAGCCGGAGCAGAGCTGTCAGCTGGAGGCTCTGCTCAGCCATGCTTCACAGATAACAACATGAACAAAACATGTACAGTATTTATATCTGCTCTGATGTTCTGTCACCCACTGTTCGCACTGACATTCATCCTCATCTATATATTTACCCCATCTCTCTTAATGTTGTTGTTTATGTAGCACACTTACATTACCTGTAGCTTTAAAAAAAATAAAAATAATAATCTATATACTTACATCTATATTGCATAAACTATATAGATTAATATATACAGTGGTGGTTCTGGACAAAATTTTACTGGGGGGGCAGTGTTTAATCACAGGAGCACATTAATAAACAACAACAATGATATTTAAGCACTACAAACTTTCATTTACTTTATATTAAAATTAAATAAATTGTTGTTTTTTTTTAAATTTATTGTCTTCTTTTTTTTTTCAAACAAAAAAAATACATAAACTGACACACTGAGGGGATCAGGGCCAGTGTTGACATGTGTAACATAAGGACCATTTTAAATCAGTCACACGTAACATAAGTGGTTTGGTTACCTGACATTCCAAATCCACCATCGTTACAGCAACAGGATACGGCGGTTGTGCCGTCTGGCAAACCGGTCCTGAAATATGTTAAGATCCAAGGCCTTGGCGCTTCTGGATTCCATACTCAGGGTGGATGGGTGGATACTGCTAATTACTTGACTCACCTTTGGTCCTATAAAACAGTCTTGGTGATGTCATCAAGTATGCTGATATTCCAGTTGCACATTAACCGTGAGTCCGTATACGTCCAGGAGACGGCACAGAGAGCAAAGCTGAGCTACAGTTTGGGTGTATTGCTCTAATTCATCGTATAGAGCATAGAGCCACATTGGTTTCGGCGCATGTCATCGTTATAAAGTGATCAGTTTATTACTCAGTCAGCACAGGGGGGAGCAACATTTGGACAGGACCTGCCCCTGTAGGCCCCTGTGTAGAACCACCACTGACTATATATCTTGGATATTTGTATATTTTGCTTACATGCACAGTTTCCACTGTTAACACTGCTCATACTGCTCATACTGCACTGCAATGCATGCTAAACTAAATTTCAGTTTCTTATGAAACTGCGATGACAAAGTTGAATCTTTCAATAACCCTATATGTGCTGTTTAAAACCGAAACTGTTATTAGAGAAACTGTTGTGAGTTTTTGTTCACTGTAGGCGCAAATGACCTAGATTCAACCGAAAGGGGGGTAGATCTTGATCGAATTTGGCACCTGTAGCGGAGTACACACACGTTTTTGTGTCACGAAAACAACAAGTGCATCTGACATTGATCTGGATTGGTACAGTGAGTTAGAGCTTTCAGGTTGTAAGACTATCAGCGGCTTTATGCCAACGCAGAGAATCTGCAGAGACAGCTTTATTAAATACTTTGGCGCGTAGATATTAAGATGAAAAAAGTCTGACGGAGTAACTGAATGTTGACGAACACAAACACATTATCTGTTACGTGCATCGTGTGATCAATACCTACGCACTCTTAATTACATCGATTGCAAATAATTTTCAATACACCCACGAGCCCTTTAAAGTTTATGTGTTTTACATTCATTCTATTTTATGTATAATTTATTATTTATTAGTTAGCTCATAGGCTGACTGTTGACCAGGCCCATGCTGAGCTGATTATAGCAGGCATGTTGTTATTGAAGGCAGGGCAGGGGCTGCTGATCTGCCCCCTCCTGTCAGGGCTATCACTGATCAATAACACGTGGGTCAGCTGGAGCTGAGGCTGACCCTCCGCATTCTTTCACAGATCATCCACCCCCCCCACCCCCAACTCCTTATTCTCTCTGTCCTTCAGCTGTGATCATGTCCCACCACTGAGCTGTGTGAGAAGTCACGGGTCCCTGCCTCCTCTTTCCTGCATTAATTAGACGGACCGTAGGTTTGTCCCACCTGCTGCCTCTTAGAAGAGGTTTGGGAAGAGGGGGATTGATTTCCTCACACACTGTGATATCAGAAACTTGATCACTTCTTGCATGAGTGGCCACTGTAAACAACAAAAGGCTCAAAGATGCGGAAGCATTAGTTGCAGCTTCCCTTTGTGCTCTCGCCAAACAAAGACGACCCCAAGAGACCGTCAAGAAAACACCTGTGATTACAACAGAATCCTGCTAAGTACAGGTCATTGTCATGGATATAATGTGAAACTTAAAGTCTTACAATAGGCTGTCAGATCAGCTGTGAAAAAGATAGATATGCATGTAAATATCAGATAACCCTTTCACTGTTTGTTAAGCATTCGACTGGTTTATTATTCGAAGTAATCCTGATATAAAATATTAATGATGAACCTAAGTATACAGTATTGATGGCAGTATATAAATCTTAAGAAAACAAACCCAAGTTATTCATTAACATGCATTAGTGTGTGATGTATTAGCTCGAGAGTAGCTGCAGAAATCATTGATGCCATAACGCAGCTCTCAGCGGAGCACAAAGACAGGCCTCTAAAGCATAAATAATGAATATGGAGAAATTCACTGCAGCCCATACTACTATCTAGGAACATAAATTTTAAATTAAGCAAATTGTTGACTTAACTAAGCGAGCTGTGTCTATCAGTATGTGGATTATGGCTTTGTGTTGATGAAAGACGTTTCTCAAGGTCTTTGAAGTGCACACCCACGGATTACATGTGTGGAACTCTCACTGAAAAGCCAACGTGTGAACAGAATGCTGTCAAAATATAACGTTTAATGCCTCTGTCCTTTCTCGAAAAGATAAAAAAACATCATCGTTGACTTGTGTTTTGCTTTGTCGAACCAGATGCTCATAAACAAGTTCCCATAGACGCATGAGAACCCTGGGAGAGAGGAGGCAGGCATCAGTTTATGTTACATCAGAAAGCGGTTTCTGAAGAGTGATGCATGCAAGCCAACACACACACACACACTGAACAGACGCATGCGTGCACCCACGCGTGCACACACGAGCGTGCACAAATGCACATGGCTGCACAATCACATGCCCTACTTCCTCTGTAACCTCAAAAGCCCATTCTCCCTCTTGATATCTCATTCTCTATGAATGTGCACATGTATCTAGCACAAACACACACACACACACACACACACTCTGTCTCCCACCAAAACATTCTCAGCATGTGAATCCTGCCTGGAAACTAGAAAGCAGGGATTTCATTTGCTCCAACTGGACTTGTTCCATGGCAACTGCATCCTGACTGCAAGCCAGTTAGATGAGGCATGTGCGGCACCCTGACCCAATGACAGAGATCATACTGGAGCAGTGACCTGAAAACAAAGGAGGGCTTGCTTCTTTGACACCGAGTGACCTCATATTTAATTTAATTTCAGTAATATTGTGTGGGCTTTCCTCTAAAAGTTTAACTGGCTGACATGGTCGGATCAGGACCAAAGAATTTGAAGCGCCTGAGTTTAGGCACACGAACAAACAACCAAACACACACATGTGTAAACCGTCTGTGTGAATAGCCTTAGGGTTGTTCTCACCATCAAAGTCATGACTTGTCTTGTTTTTTTATGCAATCAACAATGTACAGTATATTGTACACAGTAGTACAAGCATGATAAAGATAAAGGATCCCTTTACACAAGTGTTAAAGGCTTTATCCATCTATGGTAAGTAACACCACAGTCAGAAATGACACCTGAATGAAGAGAAGACAAATAGTAAAAGTAAAGTCTACAACCCCTCACAGGTCCTCTCAGGTGTAGACACATTGAATAATGTAGCAGGCGAGGAGAGGTGGAGTGGGGTAATTTTGTGCTTGAACCCGGCCTCTTTTAGAAATTGTGAAGGTGAGGCTAGTTATGAAGCAATGACACCTGATCTGACCGCCGTAACTGAGAGCGCTGACACAAATGGGCACCTTTTGTAAGGGCTGTCTGGTAATCATACATCCCCGTCTGGCCCGCAGACTGCCGGCCAAACCTCACACTCTCAAAGTGACACAGATACAAAGGCCTTTGTTATTGTAAGTGATTGTTGCGCACATAAAAAGCAGAAGAGGAAAAAAATTGTACTAATGAGAAACACAGAAATCTGTAAACCATTTCCACCCCCCATGACTAGGGTTTAAAAATGCAACATGTTTTAGGTTCAGCGAATGAGGTCATCACATCAGCGTAGTTTACTGTAAGGAGCATCCCACTTCTCTGTGTTTGTTGAGTCTGGATGATGACACCATCAATCTGACGTTTCCCATAAATCTTTAAGGAAGCGTCTCTGTAAGTTTCCTTTTTATGATAGAACAAACACCAAAGCCAGGAACAAATGCATTCTACTAATAAATGCTGCCTGCACTGTAAAACATGAACATTTGTTTTGCACTGAGGCTCCTTGAACAATTTACTATTATTTCACAGATTGTCCCTGTCTTGTTAAATCACAGATAGTATCTAGTAAAACCACAACGAAAAACATTAATTTGCATGTTCAGTGTTTAAAAAAACAACAACAACAAACCAAAATTGTAAATAAATGTCCACAAAATTCTAAAATACTAGAATAATCATAATCTTTTACAGTGTTTGACTATAAAATTACACTTGTTTTTATTTTTTTATTTGTATTTTTTTTTGTTTTACTATATTTAGAATGTAAAAAATATTATTTTCCAGATATTTGCTGTTATTTAAAAGAAAAACGAGGCATATCAAGG